TGCTTGGAAATTTATGCCTTGCTAGTCTAATGTTACGGACTATCTCTCATGTGTTACTTTCAGTACTGCTTCTCCTGTTTATTGTGAATGGAACTTAGTTGCCGATAATTTGTCAACTTTTGTTGTTCATACGAAATCTGAAAAATGGCGGTGGAGCTCAATTGATAAATAGTAGTACTAATTAATAAGTTGGTATTTCCAGCAAGTTATAAACCCAGATCCAAGCTTTTATTATATATAGTTTTAGTCAGCAAGGAAATAATTTGGCCAAAACCCAATTGAACTTCATGTGTTGAAAACACCAACAAAATCGGCTTGGGCAGATCCAGCATAGTATCGCGAACCACGCTGTAAAAGCTCACTTACAGTAGTGTTATAGTATTGGTCTAGAGGCAAAGTCTGCAAATTACCGCCAGCTCCGTTGATTCTAATTTCTGCAGGTACTGAACTTGGTACTTCTGTCCTCGGTATGTTGACTGCCACCCAAAAATCTCCTGAAGGTGCTCTTTTAATATTATCAGGCCTTCCTGGAAATTTGGCCACAACTTCAGACGTAAAAGCTCGGGTCCCACGTAGCCAAAATCTTCGAGTTCTGTAAGCTATGGTCTCAGCTACAAGTAAATACGAGGATCTGAACTGATTGCAACACCGTTTGCCCCAGAAAGGGCACTTAGTAGCACTCTAACTTTTTTACTTCTGCAATCGTACTTTAGTAACCTTCCTGTTGAGTCATTGGCAGCAATTGCGTCCAGGATTTGGCTGCAAGATATATGGAAGTAATAGTAGTAGTAGTAGTTGTTGTTGTTATTATTATGATTATGATTATTATGATTATTATTATTATGATTATTATTATGATTATGATTATTATGATTATGATTATGATTATTATTATGATTATGATTATTATTATGATTATGATTATGATTATTATGATTATTATTATGATTATGATTATGATTATGATTATTATGATTTTGATTATGATTATGATTATGATTATGATTATGATTATTATTATTATTATTATTATTATTATTATTATTATTTTGCATTAAAACCAACAAACGTTAGGGTTGAGGATCGAAAGTAGAGGTCGAGGTTGGCGTCAGGGTCTAAATAGGGAGTCGAGGTTGGGGTTAAGGTCAAGACTAACATGGATGAGGCCAAGATTAAAACCAGAGCCCTAATCAAATCCAACCCCAACCTCAACCCCAATCTTGATCTTGATTTTAGAACACAAGAAAATTTCATTTTAAAAAAAAGTGTTTTTTTAATTTTTTTAACAAGCAAAAAAATTGATAATAAATTGAAAGAAAAAGTAAAAAATAATATTACTATAAGTATTTTCTAAAAATAAGACAAAAACTCACATTCTTTCAAAAACAAAAAACAAAAATGTGCTTTAAAAAGTGATTTAGAACGAGGTGTAAGCTACATAATAGTCCTAATATTTTCCATCTATATAATAAAAGGACTAACTTAAACATTCTTCAGTTCACAAATAAAATTTGATACAACTTCTCATATTTAATATAAAGTATGTAATTAACACTGTTACATTTTTTAAATTGCAGACTAAATTTAATACAACTCTCAATAAATGAACTTTTACAATGAACTGTTACAAGATATTATTTGTGGATAAATTAAGACTAGCTAGGGCACACCCCAATATACAATCTGTAACATATTAATAAAAACGGTTAATCTCATATGAGCCTCTCAACTTTTGGGTCTTTCTTAATTTTGTCCCTTGAATTTTAAAATATTTTACATTGCTCTTGAACTTTGAATTAATCCCGCTTAACCTGTTTGTTAAATTTTCTATTAAAAACATACAACAAAATAAAAGGTCAAGTGTAGTTGTGGGATCTTTTCCATTTAGTTTTAATAGATACTATAACAGAAAAATTACGTGACTGCACTATGCTTTTTTATAAGTGTTTCCAATAGAAATTCTAACTAAACGGATTACTTGGGATTAATTGAAAACTTAAGGAAGAATGTGAGAGTTTTTAAAGTTTATAAGATAAAGTGATCAGAAGGACCCTAAAATTCAAGACGTGCTTGTGAAAATAATCCGAACAAAATATATGTAGTGTGTATGTATGTGTGTGTGTATATATACATGCTTGTGTGGGCACGCGTAGTTGTATTATTCAAGAATTGACAAGATTTTAATTGAAAAAATGATTATATCTATATTGCGTATTTATTTAATGTTTTTGCTTTTTTTTTTTTGGCTGAAAAGTGTATTTATTTATTGTTAGTCAATTATGATATTAACTAAAAGAAAAAAAAAAGATAGAAAAGAATACATGAACAATACCATTTTGCTAATTCTAGGCGTATAGCTTCACATAAACCCACAATTAACTCTATCTTAAGATGTTGATTTCAAATTCCCCAATCCGGGGTCCATAAAAAATTAATTAAAACAAATTGGAAAAAATAAATGAATGAAAGTAAAAGTTTTAACTTTGCTAGGGGAATACCTTTGCAAGAATCTTGAACTGAAATCTGTGAAATAAACGTCTCCAGTATGTTGATCAACACTCAAACCGTTAAGAAATCTGAAGGGTGTTCCTTCTGCAGCAGTAGCAAGTCCGGTTGCAAGTCCTCCATTTGGTCCAACCACAAACAACCCTAGAAAAGCATCAGCAATAAATAGCATATTCTTCCTGTGGAAGAATTCAATACCTAATGGTCTCCCACAAATAGGACGCAAAGCCGGATCATTTGTTCCATCACAAAGAGCCTTGGACCTGAATAAAAAGTTCAAAATCACAAAGCATTAATATGGATATCTTTTGGTTCGCTGTTCAAATTGGAGTGATCCGGTTTGAATTGTAGAATCTGAATTGTGGTAATTAAATTGCGATTTCGAACTGGAGTTTGCCAGCTCCATTGATTCTTATTCCTGTCCTTGGTATGTTCACTGCTACCCAAAAATCTCCTGAAGGAGCTCTTTTAATATTATCAGGCCTTCCTGGAAATTTTGCCACAACTTCAGACGTAA